TTTTTATTGAAAATTAATAAATCAATCCTGTTTAATAATATAAGACAAGAATTTGGAAACTTTTAGTATTTGTTTCAAAAGGAAAATGATTACAATCTATTCTTATAAGAAAATTCAAGAGCAAAACTTAACTATTCTTAATTTTCTCGAGATAAATAAATTTAAAAACCTACAATTTTCAAAAGATGTTATCTAAAGTAATATAAATTAAAAAATTTGATTTTAAAGGAACTTTAGCTAGATATTATTTTGGATTCGAATAAATTGATAAAAACATTCCTCTTTATGAAGTAAAGTTAACAGGAGGATCTGTTAATTGGATATTTTAGGATAGAAAGAGTTTGTTGTAATCTTTAGATAAAAAAATTTTTTAAAATGGTAAAATGAATAATGTCAAGTTTCCAAATTCAAAAGTTTTTGGTAAACTTGAATAAGAATATGTTTTAAGAAGAGCAAAATTACTAAATATTTATTTAAAAGTACTTTATAACAAACTCTAATTAATTTTCATTAATAAATATAATTGAATAAAAAAAGAAATAGTTTAAAATTTTTTAATTTAATTAGTTGAAATTAACATATATACAATTATATTTTTAATGAGATGCTTGAAATAAATTTAATTAAAAAATTTTAATATAAAAAATCAAAACAATTTCTTTAAGTTTTTAAATTCTTACTGCAAAATCGAAGTAGAACTATGATCACTTTTTGTATTAGTAGTATTATTAGAATATCTATGACTTGCATGAGAACTAGTTTTTCTATGACATGAAGGTGTTGATAATCCATTTAATTCAGTTTATAGTTTAATAACTATTTTGATAGATTAAATTAATTCTCCATCTTGATCTTTTGTTTGATTTAATTATTTCATTTTTTGATATAGAGCTTAGGGATGAATATTTTTATTTTTAATAATCATTAAAGTATCTTTTTCTAATTTTTATAAACCTTTTTGTATAATTGAAAAATATTATGTAATTATTTATTCTGAAGTTTCATTATTATTATTATTACTATTGTTATTGGTATTATTAATAATTGATATATTATTATTAGTTAATTATTTATTTGGTACTCCAGTAGCACTTCTTTTATGTCGAGAGGGTTCAGTAATTTCTTTTTATATTTCTTTTTGAAAAAAATTTTCTTTGATTTCTTGAGTATGCTTTTTATCATCTAAATAAAAAGGTTTATCTTTTTATTATTAAAATTGGAGAGTATTCTGAGGTTATTTTTTATTATCAGTATTTTAAAAGTTAATGTGAAATTAAGATGCAAGTGGAGTAGAATAAGGACTAGCATTAGGAGTATTATTATTAGGTTTTAAGAGATCTTTATTATTTAATGAAGTTTACTATTAAAGTTCTTATTATTATTATTAATATTAGATTAAGGTTTTTTAGATCTAAGACTAGAATTAAGGTCCATAAGGTTGTTAATTTAGTTAAACTTTGGATCGATCTAATAATTCAAAATATATTTTTACTTTCTTCAAGAACAATAGCAGTGGTGTTGGATTATTTATGAATATGACCTACAGTGTTATTATTTTATTTAGGTTTTTCATTTATTAATTTCATTGCATTATTAGTTTATGTTAATAATTCTGACATTTTTTATTGAGCAGTGTTTTGAATTTTGTTAGGAATTTCAAAATTAGAAAATCTTCTACCATTTTATGAATCATTTTATAATTAACTCTATAGTTAAATGAGTATATACCTCATTTAAAATTTCTTTGTCCATTTCACTAGAGTCTGTAATGAGATTGAGTTCATTATTTTCCATTAATAGATTATTAATGTCATATGTATGAGTGATCCTACGACATAAAGGACATTAAATTCTAAACTTATTCTATATTTAACTAAAATACAAATTCAAATTTTCTCTTACCTTGTATTTTCTTGAATAGATATATTTTATGCACATTTAAAACAAAGTGTATGAGAGCAAATTAAGGAGATAGGTTTAATTGCTTACATTTTACACAATTAGCAATGTGAGATGGATGCTCTTTAATACATATTTAATTAACTGATTATTTATATAATTAAAAAACTGCTCAGTTACCATAGATATTTACTAATTTATCAAGACTGCAACTATAGATGTTCTTGCTGAATTATGCAAATCTTAAAATTAATAACAAAACAAATACTTAATTCCAGTAACAAGATCTCTATGACTTTCAATTCTACAGAATTCTTATTTTTTTTTAACATCAAAAAAATGAATAGTTTTGTTTGAACCAAATGTTAGAAATTATCCTGATGGATCATATGATAACCCACCTAAAATAAATATTAATAATAACCAATCTTTTAGCCTTAATAAATTTTAGAGAATTAACCAGGACGTCTTAAATCCCATTCATTAACTTCAGAATTACTACTTGAAGCTAAAGTAGCTCCACTCTCAGAAAATGTTAGATTAGTAACAGCTCCCTAATAATATTATTATATATAATTAATACATCTTATCCTTCTAATTATGCCAACATCTACCCTTTTACAATACTCCAAACTTTAATTTAAGAATCTGCTTGCCCTATAGCTAATAACAATCCATCTGGATGAACAGATACTGAAGTAAATTAACATTAGCCTTCAAAATCAGTTACTCTACTTAATTACTATCCATTTTTTAAATTATAATATGCCAATATTCCATTATTAGTTACTATTATGGCAATATGTGCTACTGGATGAATAGCTATTCCTGTTACACTTTAACCAATATTTATCGTCTGAGTTACTTAGCCTTCCTGTGTTTAAGTGTTAAATTAATAAATTTTAAGGTTTCCATCTTATGAAGAAGAAATGAATCTAAGATGTTCATCATAATTAAAGAAATTCACTGATGTAATAGTTTATGTGTGTTCTTACACTTAATAAACTAATTTATCATGTGAATACAAAAAGACTTAACCTGCTAATCCACCAACTAATAAATAATCACCTTATGTATCCAAGGCAGTACCTCCTTAATTTGATTAGTACTATTATTTTACATCATAGTTTGAAAGTACCTAGATAATGAAGATTTATATACTTCAGATCCTGGAAATTAATCAAAATATGATTATTATTTCCTCTAAAGTTTTCTTTAATTTGTTAATTTAAGTGCATTTTCTTCTATTTCAGTTAAATAATCTGAGGAAAACTTCTCTGGAACATTATTTTGTTCAACATCAATTTTATGATTTAATTTGTGTTATAATTATACCAATTCTATTCTAGCTTAATCTCTCTCTTTAATCAATTTAGCTATTACTCGACATGCAGCATCATGCTAATATAATGCATGTGTTAATTCATGTCTCACTTATTCTAAATGCTATTTTAATTGAAATTATTCCAATAATAATGCATCCCATTCATTTTATAATAATGATAACAAAGATGGTATTGATGTTGCTGTTACTGGTCTTGGTTTCTATACTTTTGATACTTTCACCTATAATTTATCATGTTTTTGTATACTTCAATTAAATCTTCTAAATTTAAAGGTCTTCCTGTTATTGGACATGTACCTGTACTTTCAATATGCTTTTCTATTAATCTTCTCTCATAAATATGTCCACTCACTTTTGATATAACTGGAGTCTCTATCAATTCTCCAGACAAAGCACAAGTTTACCACGATTACATATAATGATATTTATTTATTTGAATATTTAATTAAATTATGTTCAAGAAACTAGAAGATCTTTCTAAACCAACTTTGCTTTCTAAAACTGGGGTTAAGGAATTGAAATAATCATTCAATACTTAATACCCTTTTTTCAAAGAAATTGAAGATGAAGTTTTTCCTAAAAAAGCTAACATCTAATCATTTAAATTAAGAAGTGAATACAAAGTTGAAATCGTCTAAGTTGATAAAGATTATATCTGCTTTACTAAAGAGGATTTAGTAATTCCACATTTGAAATTAGTCCACAAATTTCCAGATCTTCTCATCAAATAATAAGTTGATACAGGAGCTATAAAACATATTTTAAGTGGTTCTGATGTCTTAGCTCCTGGACTCATTTCTTAAGGAAGCACTCTTAATCCTGTAAATCGCATTACTAAATATATTTTAGGCTGAAAAAGGGTAGGTTGTAGCTATCTATGGTGAAGGCAAAGAAAATGCTATGGGAATAGGCATTATGAATGCAAGTTCTGAACAAATTAAAGAAGACCCTAAAGGTCATGCAATTTAATTGTTACATCATCTTGGTGATTCCTTATGGTAATTAAGTTTTAAGTGAATTGATTATTTGTCTATCTATATATTGTACATTAAATATATCATTATTTTGTAATTTCTGTCTTAAGGTTATCAAAGGAATCAACTGGAACATATTAAGCAAGTGTATAGTACTTACCTTTTCCATCATCTTCCTCCTTCTTCTTTCTTTATAACCTTACTCTTATTCTTCTAGGCAAATTACGAATTCCTCTTGCCCAAACTGCTTCATTCAATTATGGATCAATTCTCACATCATCAGTTAACATATTTTTTTAAGCTAAATAACAAATTAATAAATACCAAATCTGACTATGTGACTGACTGCTCTAGGTGCCTTTCTTTTAAATGTTTCTTTATGAACTGCCTTATGGAGATTTATAGTGTAATCTCTGCTAACTTCACCCAATGGATTAGGCTTTCCTTTTTCTTTCTTTCCCATAAATTAAAAATTTTTTAAAATATTTTTTAAAAGTAATTCGATCACACTATAAACTTATGCTTGGTACCATTTGCTTTAAAATGTCCTATTCTTGTATTAAAAAAACTTCGCATGGCCATGGTACTCTCCATCCACATCGATTGAGATGCTCTGTTATGAGTAACCATCAATTAATCACATTATGATTTATTATATCGTTCCTCACTCTCGTTATTATTAACCTTCAATATTTTTAGACAAATTTATTATTACTTTTTTCAAGATAGATTGTAAATACAAGTTCTTTCTCTTCAATTACAAAATTGTATTTAATTAAGTACTTGAATAAGCTTTTTGGGGCATTGCAGGTTATTATGGAAGAGCATTTAATCTTAATTTTAATTTAGACACTGTTAAAACTTAAGGAGGAGGCAGAGGTTACTTAAATTGTTTTTTTACATATAATTTCCCTAAAGAATTTGAACTTACACTGCCTTATTCTTAGTGTACAGAATTTATAGGAGTTCGAGTTTTTGGAGTTTTAGTTATTTTTTTTGGAGATGGTTTTCTTTCAGAAGACAAAGTTTTCATTTGACAATGTTCTTCTGCTATGATTGAATTATTTTTAGGCTTCAATATTCCTTACGATTCAAATGATGTGTCAATATCCCAACCTTTTATTGTTTCTAACTTTTATTACATATAATTTTTATATCAAAAATAATACTATAAACATCCTCTAATATTTGACATTAGCGATCTCAATATAAAGAAGTTTTAAAACAATTTCAATTTTTTTGGTATTTAAGTATAGATAGTGTATTAGGATCACGTGTAGCTAAAAATAATTTCTTAATATATTTCAGCACGATTTCTACATTTCCAATTTTTTTAGACTATAGCACATCTTGAATTAATTCAAAGCTTGAAAAATATTCTGAACATATCTTTCTAGCTTCTTCATTTTAAAACAAAGTTTTGAAATCCTTACGGATGTAGTTTTTTTTTTAGATACCTTTTAGAATAAATTTTTTTATAGAAGAATTATTTTCAGATGATTTTGGATGATTTTTTTCTATAAAAAATAATTTAATTCATTACTTAAATAATTTTTAAGCAACACTCCTATGTTTTTGGGAATATTTTTGGTTTCATTTTATACTTTAGGATCTAATTCCTCTATTTAATCCGATTTTGAGTTAGTTTAATTGAATTAACTTTTGCTATTATGAAATATTTCAAAGAAATCAATATTTGAATTGTTTAAAGAACAGTTAGAATCAAAGTTCATTAATCTTTAATAAAAATATTTTTCAAAAACATTGTAAAATATTAAGATTTAAAATTATTGTAAATTAAATTCTATAAGTTTTCTAATATAAATCTGTATAATTTTTTTAGAATATAACTAATATGAAATAGATTTTGTTTAAGATTTTTTCAATTTCAATTAGACTGAAGCTAATTTTGAAAAAAAAATTNTAAATACAAGTTCTTTCTCTTCAATTACAAAATTGTATTTAATTAAGTACTTGAATAAGCTTTTTGGGGCATTGCAGGTTATTATGGAAGAGCATTTAATCTTAATTTTAATTTAGACACTGTTAAAACTTAAGGAGGAGGCAGAGGTTACTTAAATTGTTTTTTTACATATAATTTCCCTAAAGAATTTGAACTTACACTGCCTTATTCTTAGTGTACAGAATTTATAGGAGTTCGAGTTTTTGGAGTTTTAGTTATTTTTTTTGGAGATGGTTTTCTTTCAGAAGACAAAGTTTTCATTTGACAATGTTCTTCTGCTATGATTGAATTATTTTTAGGCTTCAATATTCCTTACGATTCAAATGATGTGTCAATATCCCAACCTTTTATTGTTTCTAACTTTTATTACATATAATTTTTATATCAAAAATAATACTATAAACATCCTCTAATATTTGACATTAGCGATCTCAATATAAAGAAGTTTTAAAACAATTTCAATTTTTTTGGTATTTAAGTATAGATAGTGTATTAGGATCACGTGTAGCTAAAAATAATTTCTTAATATATTTCAGCACGATTTCTACATTTCCAATTTTTTTAGACTATAGCACATCTTGAATTAATTCAAAGCTTGAAAAATATTCTGAACATATCTTTCTAGCTTCTTCATTTTAAAACAAAGTTTTGAAATCCTTACGGATGTAGTTTTTTTTTTAGATACCTTTTAGAATAAATTTTTTTATAGAAGAATTATTTTCAGATGATTTTGGATGATTTTTTTCTATAAAAAATAATTTAATTCATTACTTAAATAATTTTTAAGCAACACTCCTATGTTTTTGGGAATATTTTTGGTTTCATTTTATACTTTAGGATCTAATTCCTCTATTTAATCCGATTTTGAGTTAGTTTAATTGAATTAACTTTTGCTATTATGAAATATTTCAAAGAAATCAATATTTGAATTGTTTAAAGAACAGTTAGAATCAAAGTTCATTAATCTTTAATAAAAATATTTTTCAAAAACATTGTAAAATATTAAGATTTAAAATTATTGTAAATTAAATTCTATAAGTTTTCTAATATAAATCTGTATAATTTTTTTAGAATATAACTAATATGAAATAGATTTTGTTTAAGATTTTTTCAATTTCAATTAGACTGAAGCTAATTTTGAAAAAAAAATTATTTTGATTTTGTTATTTCTAATAATTGTTGTAAAAAGTAAGAAATGCATATAGCCCCATGATTCAAATGAATTTCTCATAAATTTATGAAATAGAAAGTGAATAAAATTATGATAATTTAATACAAAATTATTCTGTTAAGATTATCAAGTTTTATTCTTATGATACTTTTTCAGGTATACTTATAAAAGCTCTAGATGGTTATTTAAGAGATCAAAGTAATATAAAGTATAAAATTTGGTCAAAATATTAACTTTTTATTTTAGTAGTATCAAACTGATTTGATGGTATCCATTTTATTGATAATTTTAAAAATTTAAACATAATAATTGAATAAATTATTTTATAAATATATATTGATGATGTACATAATGATACCAAAAACTTAAATGATTTAAAAGTTATGTAGATTTTAATTCGGAATACTGCTTTTTTAGTATTTTAATAATAAAGAACATTTTTTTAGATATAAAATCTCAAATCTATTAAAAATTATAAGAATATTCATAATTTAAAATTAAAAAATCAACAATAAAGGGGATTAAACTAATTTCACATGTTTGTCATAACGGAGTTTAATTTTTTTAGTTAGCTTCAATAAAAATTTGTGTCAACTTATATTAGTTGTAACAAATATTTTAAACTCAGTCATTATCTTATCTTATTGTTTAAGAATCGCTTCTTTCTTTTTTTCAATAATAATCTAAGCTAAACTCTTCTCATAAGCTTCCATATGAAGCTCATATCTCAATAAATTTATAAAATTTGAATTTTTTTTCCATATTTCTTTGTCTTAATTATTGCTTTTAATTTAATGATATTGCCTCTTTTAAACAACTCTCTTAAGTTTTATTAAAATATTGAAAAATGCCTCTAAAATCTGAGGAAATTATATTAATATATCTTAATTAAAAATTTGTATTTATTTTTTTCTCGTTTTAAAAGGATTTCTTTAAAACAACATAGACATCAAACTTCAGTTGGTATTTGATATATATGAGTTCAATTTGATAATTAGCAATTAAAAATAATGGGTTGATTTGGCAGTATAATGAATTTAGTGCAATTGAATTGTTAATAATAAAAGATATTAATTTATGGTTTACAAAATCAGAAATAAGTCATTTTTTTGGACAAGAGCTGGTTGGAAAAATAATTGGCATCCTAAAAATTTCAATGCTCCTCGTCCATCAAGTTCCGAATTTACTATTGGTATTAGATGTCGTTATGATCACAATTCATTTTTGAGAGGTTAGAAATATAATATCTATAAAATAGCTTATCATTCATACAGAAAGATCTCAAGACATTGCAAATAATATTTCTTTGGTAACAAAGAGTTGGAAGAATTATTTTAGATGGGTTTGAGAACATTTTTCATTGTACCTCACATTGCTGAATGTCAAGTCACTTAAATAAAACATGGTGGTGAAAGAAGAATGGTAGATTAGATTGATAGAGATTTTGAATTAGTATCATACAATTCACATCCTTATTAATTGTTCACCTATACAGTTTGGAATTAATATTTGGCAAATTAGTAAGAAGCTTATGAATAAAGAAAGAATGGAGGTAAAGCAATTGAAGATCAAGTTATTGATCACATTAGGTATAAATATTAATTAAAGTTAAGTGAATTGGTGAAGGAAGAAAAATAGAAGTTGGGACCAGGAAAATAATTGAGCATTGAAAGAACTGCAGAAGTTGTTATGAATGTTATGAGATAATTGCGAGCTGCTTAATAAAGACCTAATCTTAATAATAGGTAATTAAATTAATATACTCTAGACGTGCAGATGGAGAATTTGATGATTTCTTAGAATAAAGAAGACCATTCACAGCTCCAAACAATTAATCAGCTACTCATTGAGCTGCAATACATTCAAATATAATATAATAGCTATTAAATTAAGTATTATTTTCTATGAATCCTTAACGATTCAATATTATTTTTTAATAAACTTCCAGTTATATACCTTTTAAAAGGCATTATAACAACTAATTATCATTTATTGTATATCTATGAATTAATTTTTTTTAAAATAAATTTATATTCAATTTATATATTCTGATAATCCCATATCAGCAGCTTCTTATAATGCTCTGCTTAGCATATCCTAAACAAAAGTTTAATCGGATTTTAATGAGAGCGATTTATGATAATAGTGAATAGCTTTACTTAAACAATTTGGCAATTCACTTAAATGATAAGAAAATGCCAAACCAAAAAATATCTATGGAGAGACAGAATTTATCTTGATATATAAAAAATCTTTACTTGTATGCATTTTTCAAAGATCTAAATAGCGTTTTTATAATCTTTCTACTTTCTAAAAGTATGTCCAAGATTTTATAAGGTAGATTCTCTAATTTTATGGTTAGAATTTTAACAAAACACTAATGCATTTAAAAAATACTATAATAATAAAATTTAATAAAATTTACATCTTTGGCTTCGTTATATTTTTTCTATTTGTAAGCTATAACTCCTAATTCATTTTAAATCATCGGATCGGTTGGATTAATATCTTTAGCTTATTATAATGATAAGATAGCAGTTTATAAATTATTAGTTCTTAAATATTCCATACCAATATAGACATGGGCTTAATAACAACCAGGGAATTATCTAGTTATTGACCTATAAATTGACATAGCTTAATCAGATTCATCCTATATTGCATAAGAGTGTGCTAACCCAATCCAACTATATATTAAATGTTAATCTAACTAAATAGATTTTTAGAATTGTTTCCTTGCTACCTCATATTTCTTTGTTGAAAAATAATAAACTCCAACAACAAACCAACTTAATGCATTTTAAGCATAATTCTCAATTAAATTATGAGCACAATAATAGAGTTCAGCTATCTATTCTAATTCTAATAAACAAGAAACATAAGTAGGTATTACTTCAAAATATAATGGATCCTATTTTATCGCCTTCAATGACCAATCATAAGCAGAAGCTATATCGTAATTATAATATGCTTTTTTTGCTTTAACATTTAATATATCTATGTTATTTTTCTTCTCCAAAGCTACATAAATTAAGTCATTTTAAATTGGTATTTCTTCTTTTCTAATATATGGGCTTCTTATTGGGGATGGCTTCAATTGTTGAATTTCAACCTTATCAACTATTTATAACTATTAAACAATTTTTCTTTTTTCTTCTTGCAAATGATCAGCTATTTTTGAATTTACAATATCATAATTTATTGTTTTGCTTATATAGTAATCTTTTAACCATGCTTCATCAGAATTTAGTTAGATTTATTAAACCAAATTCTCCTTTTCATCTGATGAAATCAAATATGAATCAACTAATTATTAAAACACTCTGACATTTGTTGGTGTTTTCTATAAACATTCAAAATAATTTGAAACTGCTAATTATTTATTTTCTAATGCTTCATAACATTATCCTCTTACCCAATCACTTTAAGAACTATTTTCTTCTTATAGAATTTCAATTCCCATTTCGTATTGTCTATTTGAATATAAAGCCCTAGCTCCTAATACTGCAAAATCTCCTTATGTCATTTTATGCTTTAAAAACAGATTGTATACTCCTGAGTATTCTTAATTAGCAAAATGACACTAATTTTATTAGACTAATATTTTACCATACCAAGCAAAAATACTAAGTATGCTAATGCTGTTGAATCTTAATTCAAACATAACAATTTTTCTGCAAAAAATATAGCTTATTTATAATATCCTTGCAAATAACTGCTCATTGCTTACTGATATATATTCAATAATGAAGGATTATTCAATAATGATGTTGCAAATATAGAATTAGACTAAGGATTGAAATACGGTAATTAAACTTCATAATACATATTTTAAAATTTTCCTTGTTCACTTTATTGCCTTGAAATTTTTGTTGTCTTTTTTTAAATCGACATTTTGCCTTTTATTTTAAAATTCAAATTTTATATATTAAACACTCATTTATTATATTCACAAATTAAAGTTATTCATATTATTCTTATATAGCATTTTGCTTTTTTGAAACAAAGAATTATCAATTCAATTTATAAAAGAAAAGTTTATTTCAGAGCATTCCTCTTATTAAAAAATAACTTAATTCTAGTTCTTTATTTAAAATTAATTATTTTATAACATATGTCAAAAAAAGACTTATTAAGATGTGAAATTCCTATAAATCCTTGTGAACTAGCTATCACAAGGCTATTGAACCCTAAACCAAAATTTGAATACTTTTAATCATCAATGTTATAAAAAGTTTAGAATTTTTTACCAGAATTTAAAAAAGCAAATGAATAGTTAGAAAATACAGAAAATTTAAAACAGTTTTAAATAAATGATTAAAATGCATTATTGAGAATCCCTATAAAAGATCTAATACCAGATCCCAAAATTAGAAGACATTTTAGAAGAACTGGAAGATAATAAAAAATGATCAATTTAGTAATTATCCTATAATTAATTATTTAAGGATTTGTACATGGGAGTTATGGATACAAACAAAGATTTTAAGGAGTGATTTTGTAGTTTTTATGTCTTACAATAATGCATTATTGCTTTATAAATAATTGAAAATATTTTTATATTTTATTCTTCCATAAAGAAAACCTTGGGTATAAAAGTAAAGTAATGATATAATAATCGTTGTCGGCCATACTAAGCCTAAAGCACCGGATCCCATTCGAACTCCGAAGTTAAGCGGCTTAAGGCGAGGTTAGTACTAAGGTGGGGGACCGCTTGGGAAGTCCTCGTGTTGACAACCCTTTTTTTTTATTTTATATTAAATTTAATTAAAACCAATAAAATATTTAAATTATTACTTCAAAAAAGATAATAATTTAAAAAAATAAAGCTAAAATGACAATATTCATTTAATTGTAATTTGATATTTTAATCCCAATCTTTTATTTAGATTAATTAGAAATTTTTTCGAATTATGATTTTAATAGTCTCTTTTTAAAGAAACTTATAAAAACATTGAAATCTTTTTTGTATACAATTGAATTTAAATAAAAAAATGTACTCTTGAAACTGTAATTCACATTAAATTGTTACCCTATTTTGAAAAAATTGTTAAGATATTAGAAAAAAATAATTTTAGAATAAAAATAGCATATGATTATCCATTTAAATTATCTAATAAACTAC